TTACGGTACGGTACGGGTACGGTACGTACGACGTAAAGTACGGTACGACGTACGTAACGTTGTACGTAGTTACGTAGTACGACGACGAGAGTAGGAGAGAGAGAGAGAGAGAGAGAGAGAGAGAGGGGTATGACGCTTAAGGTAGGAAAGAACTGTGAAGGACTTTCCAATGTGCCGCATGATTCTGGTGGATGAAAATGCAACAAGGATTAAGACAACTAACGAAGTGGAATTCCTACTTTGTGCTTCTTATTCTTTGCTTGTTCAATTAGAAATCACCAGAAGTATTTTATCAAAAATAAGCTTTTTTTTCCAATTTATTATTTTCTTTATTTCAAAACCGAGAAGACTAGAAGAGTTTAACAGTACTCAAAAGTGAACACTTGCACCAATTATATTCAATAAACCGCTAAGAAGAAACATTTTGTGCAAGTTGAAACATGCCATTAATGAAGTGCTCACGATAATTTCGTAAAGATGTGGGGCATCGACATGTCATTACGTTCTCAGGGTTCAAAGTTATGACTACATCTAATTGTTTGGATATGTTCACTGAATTGAACATATGTAGGCATGCAAGCAGAAAATTAACAAGATAAAACGAATTTGTAGAAGTCAGTGTTTGATTGCACGAATAAAACGAATTTGTAGAAGTCAGTGTTTGATTGCAGGAATCAGCCACAGCCCGAGTCGAGCAGTTACCAGCTAGGCAGAAAAATTTTAAAAATAAAAAAATCTAAAAAAAAATAGGAAATATATGTTTAAAGTGTGATTAAACAAAACACATCTAAATGAGATTAAAAAATTAGTAAAAGAGTGGATTTTGAAATAATCAATTTATGACCACGGGATTCTCAAAATAATATAAAAAAGATGGGAAAATGTAAAAATAAATATTCATGGTCAAAATACTTTCCAATCTTTGCCAAAATGATAGAACACATAAACAAACATGTCACAAATAGATTTCTTATTTTTATTTTTTTTTGAATTTGTTTTTAAGATCCCGGAGTTGGACACCCAACTTGGGGTGTCCGAGCAGACTTGCCCAATTAGTAGAATACCGGCAGAAGTCATGGGAGAGAAGAAAATACTAAAACAACTAGTCCTGACTTGGTACGGGATTTCTTTAGAGCGTGAGAGATTCGAGTTTCCATCTATGTTATTGCCTTATAGGCCAATACCAAGTTTACCAATGTGAGCGACTCTACCACCTCAAGAAGTTCAAAGTTACGCCTTGTTCTAAAGCCTATCTGCAGAAAAATGAAAAAAAATCAAATAAAATGGAAAAAGTAAAAGACATGGCGGAAAAGAGTCTAAGAAGGATGAGAACCGTAAACTTTCCCTTAACTTGTCCAAAGCATAGGTAAAGGAGGTGGGTTGCATTAGGTATGCAGCCAATGTAATCCATGAACTTCAGAGGGATGCACTGGAACGTAAAGGTTTTAAAATTTGCTGGACAAAGACAGAGTATATGGAATGCAAGTTTAGTAAAAGAGCACACTTTTGATAGTTAAGATTGATGGTCAAGAAATACCAAAAAGAGCGTATTTTCGATATCTTGGGTCGATAATCTAAGAAATTGGAGAGATTGAGGAAGATGTCACACATAGATTTATAGTTAGGTGGACGAAATGGAGATGTACAACTGGAGTTTTATGTGATCGCCGCATATCAATGAAGCCGAAGGGAAGTTCTATAGGACAGTTGTGAGACCATAGTTACTTTATGCAGTTGAATGTTGGGCAGTCAAGAAATAATATACCCATAGGATGAGTTTAATTGAGATGGATGAGTGGCAAGTTAAGAAAAGATAGAATTTGAAATGAATACATTCGGAAAAACTAAGATGTGGCTCCAATAGGTGATAAGATGAGAGAAAGTAGACATAGGTGGGTGGGCATGTAGTACAACATTTGTTAAGAGATGCGAGTTGATTCAATTAGAAGGCTAAGAAAGGGAACTGGGTAGGCCCAAAGGGATATGGTTAGAAGTAATGAGAAAAGATATGGGGACTTATGGCCTTACTAAGTAATGTATGGCTCTTGATAGAAAGCAGAACGTTGGACTGGGATTTGCGTAGCCGACACTAAATAGTTGAGAAAAGGATATGATGATGATGATGACATCATGGCTGAAAAGTGTTTGATTGCACATCCTTTGATTCCAGAAAGGATAAATTTCCCTTGCAGTCTCTCTTTCTCTCTCTCTCACACACACACATATACAGATACACACAAAGGAAGTGTGGGTAGGGGTGGCATCGGGTTGGTCCGGGTCCATGTAAATGGACCCGGCAGGTTGGGCCTAGGTCCAAATGACTTGGATCCGACCTGGGTCGGGTTACGGTCCAACATGGACATTATCAAGTCAGGTTAGGGTCAATCCAAACCTGGCCCGACCCAGCATTAAATAGATATAAAATATTATACAATGTCAAAAATAATTATTTTACTGTTTTTTTTTATAATAAATTTTTAGACCAAGGTCTAGTTGGGGTTTGGGTCCAAATATTCGGTCAATCAGAATGGAAGTTTAAGAAGGCATTTATCCTCGTCAAGTCCTTTCTTTTGAAATCAGAAGCCAGGGATCAATTCCTATGACTTGTATTGATAAAAATTTCTCTCCATGAGAAATTGAGCAAAAAGCTATTGAATTGGCCTATTTCTTGCGCGCACCAATTGAAAGTGTTTTGAACCAAGGAATGGATACTTTCTTGGCATGGGTAGGAAACCCAAGATTTGTTTTTAATACAAATGACCCGGACCTAACCGGATCCAGGTTGGATTCAAGTCATTTGGACTCGGACGGACCCGCCCGTTGCCATCCCTAAGTGTGGGGAACATGTATACCATAAATTTGCACACAAATCATTTTGTAGATCGTCAAGTGAGTCTAGATTATAAGCAAATGAAATGTTGTTGTAGTAGTAGTAGTTAGAATAACAACAACAATAATAATAGAAAAAAAAAGGACAAGAAAAGAAAAACAGAGGCCACACAAAAAAGGAACACCTGATTGATGACCCAAAAAATAAACCTATAGCCCTGCCGAGAGCAAATTAAATGCCCCCAAACCACAAATATTGTATTTAATATACTAACGAACATGAAATGCGGTTACCAAAGAAAGGCTTTGCACTATGATTATACATTCCATGCCAATTTCCCTAGCTTTGAAAAATACTATGTGCATGACAAAAGCATATTAAGTTATAACCTATTGACATTCCAAAGATAATTATCATAAAAGAATCTCACTCTCCATGTCCACCATGATATTACTCCCTGGTTTTAAAAATGGCCTCCCAGGACCGGTTCCTAGGCGCCCGCCCAAGTAGGCTAGGTGGGCACTTAGGAACTAGGCTGTTTTTGAAAGGAAAAAAACTGCATATAAGGGCATTTTGGGTCTTTTGGACCCTTGAGAAGGGGGAAAGGGTGTTTTGGGGTACTCTGTACTATAGTTATTGGAACTATCCACCCTAGGTAGAGATTTCACTTCGGAATCTCGATTTCTTATTTTCGTGAAGGGTAGAGATTCTAGTTCAAAATTGAGATTCTGTATTTTCGTGAAGGAATTTCCATAGATCCCGATTCCTGGAAGTTAGGAATCATGATTCCACATTTTTTGGACCTCGTTTCGATGCCTTTAGAATATAGATTCCATCTCACCAAATTTTGCAATTCATAAGTGCACAAGAATGTGACTCAACCAATATGGGACCTCACTTCCAATTTTAAGGAATAGCGACTAGAGATATTTGGAATCTAGATCCATAACATCAAAATTTTTGCCCGAATTTTATTGAATACACTGTAATTTTTAAACATTATTTGAAAAATTATGTTACCAATGACCAGCCATACTTTAAAAGATGGCTTTAAGACTAGCCATGCTTTATGAGACGGAATATGGGTGGTCAAGAAATAACATATCCATAGAATGAGTTTAGTTGAGATGCGAATAAATAGATGAGTGGAAAGACAAGGATAGAATCCAAAATAATAATTTGAGGGAACTTAGGGGTAGCTCCAATAGGTGATGAAATGAGGGAAAATAGACTTAAATGGTTTGGTCATGTATAACGTCGACCTAGAACAACACCGGTTAAGAGGGTTGATTTGTTTCAAGCGGAAGGTTCTAAAAGGGCAAGGAGCAAAGGACATGGTGTTGTGAATAACCAAGTTAATATCTATCTCTTTCTATATTTAAATTCATAAGGACATTTTTGTCATTTATCTTTCTTTAGGGGCAATTTTGTAATTCATATATTATTATTAAAATATAGTATTTTAGTGGGTGTGGGTGCCTAAGAGGACACTAGCATGGCTCTGTTATCCTCTCCTTTCTCATTTATCTCTCCAACTTTCTCTCTCTTCCCAGATCTTGACCTTTCTTATATTTTTTAATTACCAACATACTAACATCTTGTATTTTAACTTGACATTAGGGCAGGAGCTTTTGCGATATACTTTGAAACTCTAATAATGTGATCTAACTGCGCAAATAGCCATATGATCATAAAACTAAATTTGAAAAATCAAGTATGGGGAAAAAATCGTATCAGTTGCGGTTCCTTCTTTCTATGAATTTTTTTTGTGACGTGTGGTTCGAGAAACCAGATCTGAAAAATGATGGTGGCCCAAACCCTGGATTTAGTTTGTGTGGATGGAAAAACTCAGATCGGAAAAATTGATGTGGTGTATTAAACCCTAATTGTCATGATCACTATCCATCTGGATCAGAAACTCAAATCTAAAAAATTAGTGCGGTGTGTCAAACCTTAATTTTCATGGACACTCCCTATCTAGGTCGAGTTTGTGATGTCGACTAAAAGTACCGCCGATGCAGCTACACTTTGCACATGAATAGTGCACATCGAGCGATTTGTGTTATGCATGGTGCACAATACACAAGACTGAGTAGTAAGTGCACTTATGTAGTGCTCCGTGCACATGTGTTTTGGGGAACGCAATTGCACGGTGCATGGGTGCACAACGCTCATCATCAACGCCTACACTTTGCACATGAATAGTGCACATTGAGCGATTTGTGTTGTGTGCGGTGCACAGTGCACAAGACTGAGTACTAAGTGCACTTATGTAGTGCTTCGTGCGCATGTGTTTTGAGGCACGTAGTGCAAATTGCACGGTGCGCGAGTGCACAACGCTCATCATAAGTGCGGGCAACACGCCTACACTTTGTGCATGAATAGTGCATATTGAGTGATTTGTGTTGTGCACTGTGCAAGTACACAAGACTGAGTACTAAGTGCACTTATGTAGTGCTCTGTGTGCATGTGTTTTAGGGAATATAGTACAAATTGCACGGTGCACGGGTGCACAATGCTCGTCATAGGTGCAGGCAATGCGGCTACACTTTGCAAATGAATAGTGCACATCGAGTGATTTGTGGTGAGCATAGTGCACAATACACAAAACTGAGTACTAAAGTAGTGTTTTTATGTTTGTTTTGGCCTTGTAGTCGTTGATACTTCAAATATCAGTGATTAAGGCCATTTTCTCCCACCACTAATACTCAGGTTGTAACGTCTTACATACAGTTAAACTTGATGGAGGAAACCCTGGTAAAATGTAAAACTTTATGGGACCAATCATTTGGAATGATCACATTCTGCTAAAATGTTTATTGGTGGTAGAGGGAAGTTGGGATACATCAATGGTAACATTGTTGAACCTGAAGAGACAGATCCTTCATACGAAAAGTGACTGAAAATTTGACGGTAATGTCTTGGTTATTGCACTTAATGCAACCTTCAATTAGTAGGGGGGTTTCCTGTTTAAGGGCACCTGCCTTGGCACTGAAAATTTGATGGAAATATCTGGGCACCAGCCTAGGCACTGGATGCAATAGGCTAGGATGGGCAAGTAAGAGCCACCTAGCATTTTTTAAAACCATGATTATTTCTTTTTAAATTCATGTATATAAGTGCACATCCTCCGAGTCTTATCCCAACTATTTGGGATCGGCCACATAAATCATGTTATGCCATTCTGCTCTATCAAGGCCATAGCTTCCTAATAATCGACCAAACAATATAAAAAAACAAAAAAGATTTATAAAATTAATTTTAGTAGCATGGGGTGAGGTAAAGGGCGCATGTGGCATTATGTGGGGTAGATTGCTTTGTGACTACAGTCCACAAGTCCCACTTAGCTGGCACTCACCCTCAACGGTCTAGCAGACTCAAATATGAATTGAAACCATACTTATTTGCCCCAGAATACTCTACATCATGATCTACCGAATTTCAACAAGTACTACCACATTTTCCCTTAAAGATGTAAAATAATGATAAACAAAAGCATACTATTTTTAATTTTTAGTAGATTAGAGCACAATGATCAACGGCAAGACAAAGAGGATATAATTTATATCATGGAAAAGTTTATATAGAGCCGAGGCTCCAAACAATCAAATTTGAGCCTACCTCAAAAATTTCACTAAAAGAGGGTGTTTTGATGCCCAAATATCTTCAAATTGATCATCTCGACATCAAGATGCATGGACATGAGAAAAAAAATGGACTTCAAGTTTTGAAAATCGTGTATTTTGTAACGCATTTTTGGACCGTTAATTTTCAAGATTTTCATAGATCTATCGATCTACACTATTATTGAAGCTTTAAACATTATAAATAAATATAAAAAATACATTTTAAGTCTATCACAAAGATTTCCAATATTGAAACTTGAAATCTACCACATTTCTTGACACTATTTGAAGGTAGGATTTAATTTGATTGTTTAGAGCCTAGGCTCAATACAAACCGCATCCTTTATATAATCAGGGTCTGGAAAAACATACCTGCAGCATCTAATGCACGAATGGATTCACAGAATGCATTGGCCTTTTCACGACGACGCATCAAGTCATTACCATGAGTTGGCATGGCAGTGAGTTGGAAAATCTTAGACAACAGATGTGCGGTAAGTCAAGAAAGCAACAACTAACGAACGCAAATTTTAATGGAGGCAGGAATGAATATAGGAATCTCCTAAAATATAACTCAAAAGTTCTTATATCTTAAGAAAGTGACAAGGATATAATCTCGAAGTCTGTTGGTTGTGTTTGGTACTGCTACTATAAGGGCACGAATGACAGCAAGAGTAGCTTCATGGGATCCATCTTCAAGAAAAGCATCCATCTGGACACGAATTTTATCAACAATCTGCAAATACAAAATGAGGTCAGTCTGTAATTCTGGAAATTCATTATACCATCCATCAGTATGACCCATGTTTGCAAACCAGTTGATTCAGGTAGAAATAAATACCAAGTTGCTGAGATGATTCACTGAAACTAATTTGCAAGAAAGTTTTGCCAAAGGAACAAGTATAATAGCTTCCTAGTGTGATTTGACTAGATCAAGGCAAACAGGCGAGGGATAAACAAATACACGATTTAACCTAAACCACTAAACTTTTGGATTTAATCAGATAAGACAGAAATCTGTATTCTACTTGTACGAACAGCAAGAGAACTACAATATACAAATGCGTAAGAAGTACAACAGAAATACGATATTCAAACTATGACAACAGTAACTAATATAAATGTTACCATATCATTCTTGAAATGCTGGGCTACAGATCCAAAAGCATAGATACTGGAGTACTTCACATTCAGGTTAGGGTCAGAGCCAAGGGTAACTAAAGCGGGCAGCACATGAGTGGAAGCAGCTTTCTCATCAACGTATGGTATCTATTCATGGAAAGGAAGAAAAATTTAATAAGAATGTGCATAATTTGATTCAAAAGAACAAATCAACAGGTCAGTGTAACTTACAAGAACTTTAAACAGGTTGGCAGCACTGGTCTTCATGGTCACATTGAAGCTGACAACCATTTCCCATAGTATATTGAATACAATTGACTGATGCTCCCCGAAAGTACTGCATTTGAATAAAAATGCATTAATTTGGATTTAGTGGAATCCCAGATAAGTTTTCGAAATACTTGGACAAAAGTCTCTAAAGTAAAAGAAAATATCTGAAAACTGAATATCATTAGCAGCCATAGAGACAAACCAAAGGAACCGGACTGCATCAATGAGCTCGGGAGTATGATGCAGTTCACTAGAATTATCCCTCAGTGAGCTTTGGATCAACAACTTCCTCAAGTATTCAGCAAGCTGTTCATGCCTACTAGGAACACCAAATATGCCGGCCAAAAGAAGAGGAAGGACACACATAACAGAAAGTTTCTCGGCCACAGCAGTTTTTGGTTTCAAACCTGCAATGAGCTGCCAGTTACACTGTATTTCATAACATGATCATTATTTCATACACATATATTCTTACCCTTAATTCTTGACTGAACAGAAGATGAGAAATATGTCAAATCACAACTATCCCCAACTGCAGTTAAAAACACAGGTAGCATGATGTGAATCAGAAAATCATCCCCAAAATGTTCACGTACGGCCAACAGAAACTGCAAAAAATGAAAGCCACACGAGAAGTCCTTTGTTAGAAACAGTTGTAGATTATCAAGGAACCATGATCAACGCACCAAGGTCACTTCAGGAATAAATTGAAAGCCTTGCTTCTTACCTTGGCAATGCGATTTCTAAGGTTGTCTTCCTTAGATGGCAATAGGCAGGCAAGTTGAATCAAAGTGGGCAAGCATTCAGTGTGTAGCCAATCAAATGCAGGCCACTCAGTATGTCCCCTAGCAGCATTATTTCCATATGAATCAGAACAAGGCTTAAAGTCAAACAATACTTTTCGACCTAAGTTAAAACTTAATAACAAGCATGGAATAAGTGAATAGCCAGCATGGAATAGGTGAAAGTTGAAACACTTCGTACCCAGTGTATTTTTCAAGCATGGAGTGTGAAAATGAAATTTTTGTTTCTGGGCTTGATAAAGACTCAGTATCATCTGAAGGAAATGGACAGGTCTCAATTGCGTGGTCATGCACAAATGGGAGCAAATCTGTCAGCATACGTAGTAAAACATCCACATTCCAGCGCTCTCGCTCCCCTAAAACTCGCAGATGTGAATCTACAGAACCTTCAACCCCTGAAAGAGGTGGGCATTGCTGACAAGTTTAAAGAGCAAGTCTCAGCAGCCAGGTGATAAGCGAATCAAATGTACAAAGAGTCAGAAAGCAGAGACATATATATGCAACATCCTGAATACCTGTGCAGAAGCTAGTATGTGGGATAGTAAAACTCGCAGTACATGGTCCAGTTTTTTCCCCCAACTTATTACAGCAGGAACGAGATATTTCAAGGATGCTTCAACCACTACACCGGAGGGGTCACAAACTAGCTGGAACATCAACTCCTCAACCTATGCACATCAAACACAAATCATATTAATAGAACATACTCAAAACAATTAAAACCATGGTGATAAATTAAACAGCCTCCCGTCGACACCGGAAGGGCTAAAAGCATTTCTTTTAGCCTGCTAGAGCTTACATTGCAGCAAATCTTGACAAGTCAAATAATCTGCTCCATGACGGCATCTGAGCATATTTAGTGGGGCTGACCTTGAAATATTTGTCCATATTTGGGAAGAGAGGAAGCAGCAATGCCAGGTTACGAGCAGCAGCTTCTCGAACAACAGTTGCCGAGTCCTCAACCAGCTGCTGTACGATGGACAGAATAAGCGAAGCACGGATCTCGGGCCTCACAAATTCAGCTAGCTCGCCACATGATTGGGCAACAAGCAATCGACGTTCCTCATACATGTGATTAATCTGAAAGCATTTCAAAGAAAATGTAAGGAGGCAGTCAAACAAGAAAGAGAAACCTCACTTTTATCAGGTGACCATTCGCAAGTTAACTAAAAAACCTGTTCCCAACACTGCGGAAGCAATTCTGACTCCGTCCTCATTTCCCCAATATTCTTAGCTAGGTTCACACATGCCTGTAGATGAACCAAAGTGTTATTCTTGCAACGTTGGCCTTTTACCTGAATTTACCTGAGATGATCAGCATTTAACTTACATCCATTATGATCTTTCTCTGCTGTTCATCTGGTCGTTTAATTAAATTAAATAATGTATGTGTTAAAGAATCCCGTGTACCACTAGCTGGGTGGCGCTCGATGGCACACATTATAAGAGGTAGAAGCTCCTGTAACCATGAAAATGTAACATCTGATTAACAAAAGGAGTGACATGTAATCACATTTTAGCTATTAAAAAAGCAAGCAAATCAGTGAACAATAAGTGCACCTCACGATGATTGATAAGCACATAAGGCACAATCTTAGGTAATGCATCTGCAAGGATTTGGATAGTTTCTGAACCCTGTTGAGGATTATTTAAATTATTAACGAAGTTCACCATTACGAAATTGCTATTCATTCTGCAAACAGAGTAGTTCTAAAAATAATCACTACTTACCACCCTCTCTGAAGCAGTTTCGACATTGTCATTCCCCAGTTTAACAAGTGTAGCACAGTCTCCAGAAGGAGCTCCAGGGTCATCTTTGAATATGGTCCCATTGTTGTTGACAGTACCATGACCAAAAGAACTTACTGGAGGCTCATCCACACCTGCACTAGATTCATCACATTTATTATTGAAAGAGCTGTAACATTCAGCAACTTCTGCCTCTACTACATCTGATATCGGATTTTCTGAATGAGACATCATTGTTTTGTCCTCAAGAATTTCGACTACTCTTTCCTCTAAGTGGTCATCCTCATTTAGCTGATCAGGGAACTCCAAAGAACTTTGCCTATTTGACCTTTTGCCCCTTAATATATCCAACTCCATTTGTAAACGTTCGATTTCTGCCTTGTAGTCATCAACATAGGATGTTTGTAATTGGTCATCTCCTCTGCCGACCCATCTTCTACTAGCTTGAGATCCTTCAATATGCATTTTCAAAGAAGTGATTTCAGCTCTAGAGTCATTGAGTTCTTTTCTCTTGAGTTCTAATGACTGTTTGAGATCTTGAATCTACAAGTCAGTAATTTAAATTCAGTATATCATTCTTATCTTTAAAACAGACCTCCATGCATGATCAATCAAGTTATGAGTCATCATTACCAAAATTTCTCTATCTTTGATATCTTTCTGAAGACACTCTAGAGACTTGCCTAACGCAGCCAGTTGACTATCAGCAGTTTCCTTATGTTCAAGTAAGGATTCTCTCTCTTTATGTAGCTTTTCATTTGCTTCTTGTAGTGCATCCTTTTCTTGAAGAATTGACATTTTCTCCTGCAAGCAAGTCACCATAGAACAAAACAATCATTTAATGCTTTGGGTATGCAACTGATGACCAAATCTTATATTGACAATTATGCTAAGCGTAATTGCATCTCAAAGAATGTTCAGGGGTGAAAGAAAGGAAACTAATCCTGATTAATAATTTCATCCTATTTCGACCAATTGACTTTCACAATAACATGGGCTTCAACATTCAAAGGTAACTGTAAATTAAAAGATGTAGATCAGAGAATCGAATAGCATCCTCTCAAAACTTAGGTTTCCCAGTTGAATTGAATAACTATCAAAAAGTAAAAAGGATGGAACATGAAAGAAGCATACTATCTTTCTCAACTGTATAGAATTTTAATATAGACAAGTATTAAAAACCAGAATTCAGAACTTTAGAATCACTCTCTACATTCCTTATAAGCCTTCCAATTCTTCTTCTTCTTTTTTTTTTTTTTCCCCTTTTTCTTTACCAAGCAATTCCATACTCTGACTGCACACTCAAGTGCCTTGCATTTTACATTAGTGCCTACATCATTCTCTTTGCAGCCTCTGAGAAAGGTGTGCAACCTACTCGGCACAGGTATCAAATAACCAAGTCTGACCCTTGAAATCAATAACGATAGAACTTGGATGATCTACCTAGGACAGGAGACTCAAGAACCTGCATAAAACTCCTGTGACAACCAGTTTTTCCAACCCAGCATTGCCCTGTCGGCCAGAAAACCAGCCTTTAAAAAATAGAAGTTCGACCAATTTCATGGATGGAAAAAGATTTGATTTACCCTTGGGTCCATCCTAACTCATCAAACTATAACTAGGGAGACCCTTTTTACCCCAAAATGTGGGATGAGCCCTACTCATCCTAGCAAAAAAGAAAAGAAAAGAAAAGAAAAGATATAATATCACACACCCTAGATATGCACAAAAAACGCAGCCCAACAGTGAACTAAACCGTCCATTTTTTGGATGCTCAAAACAAGGTCCTAGAGAACTATAATTCATTGAACATTTCTTTTCTCGCACACACACACACACGCACACGCACATGCACACGCACACGCACATGCACACGCACACGCACACGCACACGCACACGCACACACACACACACATTTTGCAAAAGCATTCTTCATTTCAAGAATCAATCCCCAAAAAAAAAAAAAAATTCAATTTTCACTCTAGATTTGTTCAAAATGAGTCCCCTCCAACAATGAATCTAGACCATTAATTTGATGAATTTCAATATTTAGACCGTTACGAATTCAAAATTAATTTTTTCTTTCATAATATTGTTGATCTAATGATAACAAAGCTATCTAAAAAATTTGGAAAGGAAAAAACAATCCGTCTAAGGCCTACATCTAAGCATTTCACTAAAATGGATGGCCTATATTAATTGCACTAAAAAAAACACTTTCTAGAGCGTGTTTTCAAATTTTGCTTCTTTGTGAATGTTTATTAGAATGAAAAGAGTGCATATTTAAAAATTTGAGGTCAAACAAATGGCTGTAACATAGTTTTTGAATATTGTTTCACTATATTACCATAGAACGATTGCATGGAATCACTCTCCTAGGGCCGATGCAATAGTATACGCCTAACGACCCATATTGAATCTGGGCCGATTTGACAGTTACGTTTATATTTTGTATTTGAATTTCAATATTTTTTCTATAAATCTAAATCATTTGAAATTTCAAAGGATTCGCTGCTCAACCAACCTAATAAAAATATTAAAAAATAATTGGTAAAAAATATATTGACCAAAATACCCTTGATGGCTATTTTCAAGAGTAGATGCTCCAAATTTCAAGTGATTTGGATTTGTAGAAAAAAATTAAAACTCACAGATGAAACACAATTATGCATGTCCGATCCTAGATTCAATTTGAGCTGTTGGGCTTATAGTACTGCATTAGCCTTTGGGCTGACAAATCCTTTTCCACACATATATAAACCAAAGAAAAACAAATATCAAATACAAAAGGATAGAATACGAGGGAAGTTAGTGACTTGCAAATCTAATAAGCAAATGGCGACTAACTAAACCAAAAAGGGGGTAAAAAAAGTCATGTTACATAGAAAAACTTGCACAATGGTCAAAAACAACAAAAAAAATCTCCCAAAGAATAAAAGAAACAAAAGTAGTGAGAAAAGGAAAAATGACCAAAATCTCAAATATTGAAGGAATAACGCAATGAAATGATAAAATTGTTATTGAAAAAATAAATGAAATTTCACAAAAAAGGAAAGAAATAAAAACTTTTTACAAAAGAGAAAAGAATTGTTGTTGGAAAATTATGAACAATTTTAGGAAAGTTAATCAAACAAATTATTCGAGAAGCTAACAAATTATTCAAGCAATAAATTTGTGAATTAACAAATGACAACTATAATATTTACGACTGTCTTACATTGTTCAAAAAATCGGACTGCCCAGCCAAAATGGGCGGTGGTCCCTGGGTGGCTGCCTAGGCGGTACAAAACCCGCCTAGGCGGCCGCCCAACGCCTAGTCCTGGGAGCCCACCCAGGGCCTGTGCCCCTCTCAGAGGTGGAAAAGTATTTTTTTTTTTTTTGTTTTATTCAAGATATAAAAGTTTAGAAAGATGAGTTTTAGGTTCATTTGAAACCTAAACCCACAATTTTAGAGAGAAAGATGCCTCCAAAAAACTACATTTCATAGCATCAAATCATCGAAGTGTTTCTCAAAGTTTGGAGTTCGAGCAATCAAAGTAAGTGCATTTTTTAGATTGCTTGTTTTATTTTGATATGTTTTCTTCAAGAGTTAGTCAGAGTGGATATCAGGGTTGGAAATATGGATACAACCCGAATCCAAATGACAAAAATTGCGTTAGATGCAATTTTTATAAAAAAGATACAAAAAGAGGCAAAAACCGATTTAAGAAACATCTTGCTGGTATTAAGGGGGATGTTGTCCTTTGTAAAAATGTTCCTGAAGTTATCAGAGAGGAGATTAAGCAATTTATAAGTTATGTAAAACAAAAACAAGAACAAAATCCTTGTCATAGATATATTTTTGTTACTCCTAGGAAAAGTGATCAGGGTTGGAAGTATGGGTACAACTTAAAACCAAACGATAAAAATTGTATAAGGTGTAATTTTTGTGAAAAAGATACCAATAGAGGTATTAGCCGATTCAAAAAACACCTTGCTGGTGTTAGAGGTAATGTTGCTTCTTGTACAAAGGTTCCTGAAACAGTTCGGGATAAGATTAGACATCTTCTGAATTTTGAAGAACCAGAAAATGATGAAAATAAGCCTTGTTATATGGAAGTATCTTTTCCAGGTTCTAAGCGGAGTGGTAATCGGGGTTGAAAGTATGGTTATAACCCGAATCCAAGTGATAAAAATCGTATTAAATGTAATTATTGTGGAAAGGATACTAATGGGTGCATTTACCGGCTTAAAAAAACACCTTGTTAGTATTAAGGGGGATGTTGCCCCTTGTAAAAATGTTCCTGAGGCTAGCAAGGAGGAAATTATACAATATTTGAGTTCCGAGAAGCACAAAGAAAAGGGTAGAGCAGCCAAGATTCCTAAGGCCTCATTTGCACAAACTAGTAAGAGGAAGGTAGAAGAAGAGGAGGAGGAAGAGGTAGATTAAGAAGAAACAGAGGAGGACGAGCGTTATATTGAAGAAAGAGATGACTCTGATGATGATGGCCTCGACTCTAATGCATATGATCAAGCTTGCCCTATTGATATTCCTTTTGATGATGATGATGATGATGATGATGATGACGACGACTGAAAACTCTTGCCTCTTGGTGTTGAGTGTTGAGTCTGTTGACTGTTGTGTTGAGTCATGAGTGTTGACTTTTGTTATACTGTATATTCTCTAAATTTTTGTTGTGTTGAGTGTTGACTTTTATATTCTACCTACACTTGTATGCTTTTACAGTTGATTGTTTTAACAATATGGATTATCAAAATTCTCTTCTCAACGTCTATCTTTTTTTTTTTCAACTTGGAATATGGTATTATATTGGTAGTTTGGTATGGTTTTTACTTTTTTTCAAATTTCAATTGGCAGCCGCTTAGGTTCTGGGCGCCCGCCTAGGCGCTAGGCGTCCTGGACCCCCCAGACCGCCTAGGACCCAACTAGCGCTTTTTGATACACTGCTGTCTTACCCTGCTACAATAGACTATTTTACCTTGGAATGTTTTCAATAACTCTATACAGCCCAATGTTTTCAACCCAAAACCCAGTATTTTCTTCTCTTTACCCAATATTTGCATGTCCTTACACTCTTAACACTTCCTCTTTCTAAATCCTTATCCTCATGGCCTTTAATTGCTCAAGTCATCACCCATTCCTTGCTCATCCTCAGCCTTTCATTTTCTTTCTATATCTACCGTAGTTCATTGATGCAGTGGGAATCGGGTTGGGCAAAAAACTTTCGAAAGGGGGAGAGGAGACAAACAAGGAGCTCAAAAACACAAGAACTCAAAGAGTTCTAACGTAAAAGTCCTAACACAAATCATCATCATCATCATCCCAGCTTTATCCCAACTATTTGGGGTTGGCTACATGATTCCTGTTCTGCTATTCTGCTCTATTAAGGGCCATACCCTCAATAAGACCATAAGTCACCATATCTTTTCTCACTGCTTTCATTCATGTTCTAACACAATTTCAAAGAAAAATTTACAACCTGTCCATAATGGAACCAAAAGAACCTATATATAAGAAAATAAAACTAGAAACCTTAAGAACCCAGAAAAGAACCTAAATGTAATGCCACCAATCAAGGCCCTATACTAAATACAAATATGCTGATTTTAAGAACACAATGGAACAAAGAAAAGCATAAATTTTATACAAAACACTAGGAATCACTTTGTATTTTCCCCTTTACTTATAAATTGACCATTTTGCCCAAAAGATCAGAGACTTCAGCTCATGTATTTTATTCTCCATCATCCCTCTGGCTCAAAAGGAACTCATCTGCAACTTCTCAACAACAAGTCTTTGTGAAATTCCATCATCAAACTTCTAAATTCACTTTTTGAAACACTGGATGGCATCCTCCACTTGTTTTCTGTAGGGCTTCAAACTTCAAAGTAGCTCATACTTACCCAAATTGCCTTTAGGCTTTGCAGCTCAACAAACTGCAAGACAAATCATTTGATCCATCTCTTAAGATGATTCTGCCATTGATTGCACAACTAGGGGTGAGGCTATCGAATACCTAAACCAGAGCAACCTCAGTTTTAGAGGGATAAAATCCAACAGTGAACAAGGAAGAGAACAAAAATTTCAGCAACAATAAGAGCTATACTTTAGAATGTTCTTTAGCTGATCCCCTCATGCACACAATAGACACTAAAACACAACCCATCATATAACCTGGACTACGCCTATGTGCAGGTCATCTCCATCTAGATAAGGCTGTTATCAGGCCAGCCTGGCCTGCCCTAGTTTGGCTAGACCTGGGCTTGGCTAGAAATATAAAAGAATTGGGTCCCAAGCCTGGCCCTGCCCAAAAACGCATTGGTCCAAAGTTGGGCCATAATAAACAATAATATATATGCATTGTATAATATATAAAATAAATAAAGAACATATATATTGTTGGGCCCGGCCAAAGGCTGAACCTGGCCAGGCCCAAAAAAACTTTGGGCCTACTTGGCTCAGCTGAGGCCTGGTCTGTGGAGCCTGATTCTTTAGGTCAAACACGACTCGAAAGCCAAGCCTATTCCAGACCAAGATTGACCTGAGCCCGACTTGTGGGCATTATATTGAGCCGAAACCTGGCCCAAAATCCAAACCTAAAGCCCATGGGCTGGCCCGTGCCCATTGGCAACCCTACTTGTCTTCATTTAAAACTATCTGAGGTCAGTGACTGTGAACTCTCTAGAAATACCTTCTATTTAATTGAAATACTCGATAATGCAAGAATTACCTCTTTTACATTTCACCAGTTCTCACCACAAATGCATTAAACTTGACTTAGAAACTTAGTTGTAAAGCGCATGTAGTGTCCCAAACGTCCTTGGCAATTGAGATGCCCAACATTTTTGTCAAAACTTCCGGAGTAAGGGTTGCATCTAAAGAACCTTTAGTGCTCGATTAATTGCATACCACTCTGTGTGTGGATTTAAGACATGCATCATCACACATATTCCTTCTTTACTAAATATCTCTTGTTCTATAAATTTGGGAGGGGCGGGATCAAACCCATCAAGGTGTCCATTACTTGTAAACCATGAAGAAGCGGAACGAATAACCCTTCCATAGAAGAAACTTGGAGGAGCCAAGTTTAATGCTTATCATATGTGGCAGCATTGAAGAAGAGAGGAGCACTAGAAGAAGAAGTTTGTGGGGAGTTGGACAACATTGCAATAAGATCTGAATGACAATCAGGATCAGACATATCAAGGTGTCCCATAGCTAGTCAACCATTGAGGGGAATGATTTGACCCTGCCATATAGAGAAATCGAGGAGTCAATTATAATGCTTACCATATATGGCAGCATTGATTGTGGGAAACGTGCACTAGAAGTTCATTGGAAGGAGGATGACACTGCAAGAAGATCTAAAGGATGAAAGGAAGAGACTGCCCCTTTTGTTTTAAAGAAAACAGAGAAAGTTCAAGGAGTAGGCTTCAAATGTTCTAGCCTGAGGGTGGGTGGGTGGGGGGGGCGGGGGGAGGGTTTAAATTTTATTTTATTTTTTTGTTTATGGTTTAGGAACGTCAAGTTGGATCGCTAATCCATGAGCAATGAGAGATTGAGGAAGATGTTGCTCATAGAATTAAAGCTGGGTGGACAAAGTGGATATGTAATTCTAGAGTCTTATGTGATTATCGCATATCAATGAAACTGACGTGCAAGTTTTATAGGATGGCTATAAGACAAGCCATACTTTTTAGGAAATGTCGTGTGGTAGAGAAATAACGTAGACATAGAATGAGTGTAGCTGAGATGATGATGTTGAGATGAATGAGTGGCAAGACAATGAATGATGTAATTTGGAATAAATACATTTAAGGGAACTTAGGGGTAGCTCCAATAGACGATAAAATGAGGATAGCAAACTTAGGTGGTCTGGTCATGTGTAGCGTAGACTTGGGATAATTTGGTTCAATGGAAGGCTCGAAAAGGTCAAGGAAAGGCCCCAAAGGACACGGGTGGAAGTAGTGAGAAAAAATATAATGACTTATAGTTTAACTGATGCTATGGCCTACAGCTACTGAAATCTCTCACCCAAAGTCGCGATTCTGATTCGAAATTGTGATTTTGCAATTTCGAGAAAGAATCTTCACAGAATTTGTTTTTATTAAGTCAAGAATCTTGATTTCTTATTTTAGAATTCTCGAGTCAAACACTTATTGAATCCCATTTTAATATTTATTGATTCTCGATTCTTTAATTGTTCAATCCCGATTTTACATTTGTTGGATCTGGATTCCACATATAAGTATATTTGATTCGATTGTTTTCGAATCCAGATTCCTGAATATCAAGTACCCTCTTTCGTAGATGAAAGAAACCACTAATTAATCAGACATCAAATCATGCTACAAATCTGTGACTTATGGATTGGTAAAAATATTTATCGATTTCCATTTAAGTTATTTGGAAATTGGTCTGGAGACGAGTGTCTCCCATCGTACATATGTGCTCCGAATAATAATCTGATGAATGTATTGTCAAAGTATTGATTCCATTAATCAACTTTCAAATGCAAATATCTAGTAACATTCCAATGTCCTTTGTAGGTAACAAGTAATAATTTCTTTTGCATGTAAGAAAGGCAAGTATAACTTGGGCATTGGAGTATTAAAATTAAGAAAACTTGGGCCATGCAATGTTAAAACTTAAATACTCCACGTCCTCACCCCCAATATCAAAGGCACATACTACAACCAAGACAACACCATGGCACAAAATAAATCCTATTTTTAACTATAATAATTAAATGAAAATCACATTAAAAATCATGAGATAATATTTGTATGTTTTATAGACAATTACCCTAAGTGGATTGTGCCCTATTTTGAACTATACTAATTAAATGAAAGTCATATTTTAAAAATCGTGACATAATATTTGTATCTTTTATAGACAATTGCCCTAAGTGGACTGCAAGTGTCTATTAATTGACCCTACTTGTAATACTGTATCTAAGGCTCATAATCAATACGTTGACCTCGGATCCAAGGAATCGTTCTTCAGGTCTTAGAGGCCTCTGATCTTGATTGTTTGGTGAGGTTCTAAGTTGCTAAGGCGCGAGATATCGTTGATGTAGGAATCTTGATTCCAAGGGGGTTGAAACTTGACCCCATAAAGTTACAAATCTGAATTGCCAGGTGGGTCGAAACCCGATTCCAAAATGATATAAATCTTGATTCTAAGTATGTCAAAAACTCGATACCAAAGATGTCAGAATCCCGATTCCATATATGAAGGAATCTCAATTCTAAATATGGCAGAAGCTCAATTCTAAAGAGTTCAAATCTCAATTCCATATATATAGGGATCTCAATTCCATTTGGGTCGAATCTCGAGTCTTATAAAGTAGGAATCGCGTTTCTCGCAATTCCCTCTATATGGATGTTGATTCCAAAAAAATGAATATTTTAGTTAGCCACGATCTCGCAATTCTGATTCCTAAAACAATATGGAATCTTAGGCGTTTAAAACAACTAAGTATGGCCCTTGATAGAGCGGAATGGCAGAACAAGATTCGTATAACCGACCCTAAATGGTTGGGATAATGCTCAGACGATGATGATGATGATAGTTGGGAAACTCAAATTAGAGTTAAAATAAAAAATATTAGGGTTTAAAGAGCGATTAAAATTTTTAGGTTAGGGTTTTTAATGAGAAGATATTAGGGTTTAGATAGATTGGATATGGTCTCATGTTTAAGGCTTAGATGAAAAGAAATTATTTGGGAAAAAGATATGTGAGGTGGAATAGTTAGGGTTTTAAAGCATAGATCATTTAGGGTTTTAAGTAAGGAAGAGAGAGAAAAAAAAAGGTAGAGAATCAAACAAAGTAGAATTCAAAACTGTTTCTTTTCAGTAACACCCGTCTGGGATGTATGTAATAGAGAGTCTCATTGTTTCACTTTAAGAGACAAGAATGATTGGGCTCTCATCTCATTCGTATCATGATGGGATAAAAATAGCTTCATTTCTCTTTCTCTATTCTATCTGGAAGATACCTATTTGGGATGAGTAGAGCCAACAGGATGAATCAAAACTTATTTTGTATTGCGACTATGAGGCCAAGACAAGAGAGATTATGGATTACCTTAATTGAAGATGAGTATGTTGAGAAGATCTGTAAACCTTGCTCTGATACCATGAAAGAAAATATGAAATAGCACGAACTCCAAGCCTTTGGAGGAACACAAAAGAAGAAGAAAATGAGTGAGTGCTCCTCGACATTGATGATATTCACAGCAAAGGTTAGTTTTACTAGTGAAATTTCACTTATACCCTAATACATTATAACAATACATCATAAGACGTAGACACAGAAATTACAGAAATACCCTCAAGGGGTAATGCGCCATCCTTCATAAAAATCACGGTGCTAAGGTCACCACAATACCAAACAGCTGGCTATGCAATAGAGGAGGATATTAAGCGTTCTTTTACAAAAATGCCCTAACCTGTTTTAGTATAGTGGCCTTTTGAGGGAATTTTGCTTCTTATAAGGGCAAATGGATATTTCCACTAAAGAACAGTTATTTATATAAAGTATTATGCGCTCCAAAAATGACCTTGTCCATAGCAAAAGTATACATTTTCCACTTTGAAAAGAAAGACAAGCCCGTAAAGGCATTTTCGTCAAAGAACAGTTAACACTCTATTGTTTACATGTTAATGTTAGAAAATATCACACACACACACACACACACAAAAACTCAAAAACATGCCAATGACAGATACACAGAACAAACATTTGTCAGACATCACACATTCACATCCTATGTGTGAAATGGTGAAATGAGCATGAAACTGGTTCCTACCATATTAACTTATATATTGAGTTAGCAGATAATTCTGGGAAGTTAATTAGGGTGGGGTGGCCTTGGACCTCCAGATTTTCGTCGTGCAAATCAAATGGGTCCGAAGGAAAAGCAGACCGTTTCCCTTGTTTCACGCTCAAGTTCAAGGTAATGAGAACAAATAGAGGCTTTATCTGGCACCAGCCTAGCTCCTTATGTGCAAGTTGGCTTTTCATACATAGTTTTAATAATCATATAAGCATTTGATAAATATACAAGGACTTATAAAGTGAAATCAGTTCAATGATGAAATAATTCAAAACAGTCATAATCTCAATAGCTGCATTTCCTCTTGGAGGAAGATATAGTTGCGCTTACAAAATGACTAAATCATAATCAACTTGATGTAAACAGAAAACTACAGGCGACAAACTGTCACTCCAAAATCTTGAATACAATGCACTACAACATCAACCAAATGTTCCAAAATGGCAGGCATGCAACATTGAAATGAGTATCTTACTTACATGGCATATTATTTGTTGAAATATTTTTGACCAAATATGTATCCAGGTACCAATTACCTGTGCATCAATAAGGAATCTATATTACCTCTGCTGCTTCTGAAGTTGAAGAAAGATATTGATAATAATAATGACGCAGTGCATCAGGTACAGACGCTGCTGTGTTCTGCCAAACATCCAAGTTTTGGTCCTTGACCTATGGACAATGTCAAGATGAGTAGGATATCTTAATAGGTTTATGTGAACATTCCAAAACACTAACACACACACACACACACACACACACACACACATATATATATATATATATATATATATATACATGTGTGCATATATTATATTCACAGATACATAAAGAACCACTTATACACACAAAAACTGTTGCAAGGATGCCCCAAACTCATGAAGAAACAAAACTGGAAAAAAGGAGTATGGCCGTCATAGCAAGACACAAGCAAGGGAACTACTGTTAAAAAGGACGCAGTATGCATAGCTCACAGATACGGATGCACTCCCTGATTTGGACAAAAAAAAAGAAGAATCAGAATTCATACTCACCTCTTCATAGAATGTCATGGCTGTCAGCCTGTATCCAGCAGAAAGCAAATATTCTTTAATAGCACAATTAAGATCTCTCCGTTCACCATCCTTCAGAGGTCCAAGACCTGAAAAGGACAAAATCTTCTTTCTCTGATGACAGGATGAAGCTTCAGATATAATGCTGGCTTCATGAGAATCTGTAGAATACACCAAATTTGGAAGCCCACATATGTGCAGTGGATCAGATATAGTTGCAGTGCACAGACAGTTACAACAAAACAAATTAACTATTGAAAATATCGGAAGGAAAAGCTTCCAGATATCATACATATGTGTCTAGTAGACATCCCACAAAACTATCACATGTCTATTGTTTAGATGCAGTTTAGGCATTAGCATATACCCTATAGAAGTCCATATGGCAACACAGAAATGCAAATGCACCCAAAAAAAAAAAAGGTTCAAAACTAGGTCTTGGTAAAGTATCAATGAAAGCATAAGCGCCACTAGTGAGCTTAGCTACTAAAGTCTCAATTAAAGATGATAACATACATGTGCCTAGTGGACATCCCACAAAACTATCACATGTTTAAATCTTCATAGCAGTTTAGGCATTAGCATATACACTATAGAAGCTTGTATGGAAAATACGCAAATGCGAATGAGCAAAGAAAAAGGTTCAAAACTAGGTCTTGGTAGAGCGTCAATGAAAGCATAAAGTCGCCACTATTGAGCTTAGCTACTGAAGTCTCAATCTAAAGATGAAAATTTTAAGTTAAGGAACAAGTAATCCATATTAGGGAGAGGTACTGAATCATCATCATCAGAGATTTTTCCCAACTATTTGGGATCGGCTACACGGATCCTGATCCACCATTCTGCTCTATCAAGGGTCATATCCTTAGTGATGCTATAAGTCCTCATATCTTTTCTCACTACTTCCAACCATGTCTTTTTGAGCCTAACCCTCAGGCAACGTACTGAATAGAAAAGTTTTTACACATCAGGTAATGAATCTAATCCATCAACTTCAAAGTTGGCTCTCTGAGTTCTACCTGTTGTTTGACTCCACATGAAAATGACCATTTTTGGATTTTCACAAATTGCATCTCAATGATTTAGTGGTTTGCGGTAGTTTTGCTGCTTTTTAATTTTAACACAAAATTTGTGTTTTGGGGTAGCTTCCCTCTCTCTCTCTCTCTCTCTCTCTCTCGAAACCAGAACCCTCACCCTCATTGCCAGAATTATCTCTAACTAACACACTGGAATCCTCACTCATCACCAGAATCCTACCTTTCCAGAAAATTGTTACCAATCCACCAATATCTCCGGCCACTATATTGACTTTGCTCTCTCCTCAAAAAAAAAGGGCAAAAAGGAAGGAAAAGCCTTATCTGCTCTACGAGAAAGGCAGTTTCTGATATGCTCTTTCAGGTAGAGCTTTCAATGCCCTTTTGTAAATCACTACTTATTTCTTGAGAGGGTATCTACCAGAGCAATGAAATAGTGCCATCAATATTTCAGGCTCAAAAGATTTTCAAAAAGTTGTTTTTTCACAGTGCAAATCATCCTTGCTTGGGTACATATGCCCAGAGACTAACATGGTGAAAGAGTTAGCCATACCAGATTATCTAATTCTCATAAACTCAAAAGCTTTCCAATTTGGTAGCTAAGCTCAATGATGACGACTCTTATCTAGAAAGTATAAATTTCAGAAAGGTAAACATAAGCTGATGGATACAAGAATAGCGTTTGGAAAAGCCTAAATGTTGAAGTAATAGAGACCTAAATATAGCAGAGAACAATGTTTGAAAATCCAGCTCTTTGGGCAGTCCAAGTGATAGGGCTAATTCAATTTGACTTCGATTGCATGCCAAGCCGCCAAAGAGAAAAACAAGCCAAAAAAAATAGAAACATCTGAAAACTGGTAAAAATAGGAAAAATTACAAAAACAACATAAATAAGGTATATAGAAGATGAGAAAAAGTTATCAAAAATAGAAAAATATTAAAATAATAAAGTACATAAAAATTACTTATAAATCAATTATTATTAATTATGAAGCAATTATATATACCCCCAAGTTGGGGGGTGTTCTGTGCTCCGCAGCTCACCAAGACAAAGTGACTCAGGTGAGTCAGGGATGACTTGCTCTTTGTAATTTCTATGGCTATTTGAAACCAAAACACATAGTGGAAGGAGAAGAGAACAATTTAACCCAATAAGAATTAAGAATGAAGGAAGTGGAAGGAGAAGAGAACAGATTTAACCGACTAAGAATTTTCTCGAGAAAAACTCTTAGTAATTAGTGAAGTTTAATCCACTCAGGTGCTTTTTTTGGGAGAGAGAGAGAGAGAGAGAGCTTGCTTTGCTTTGTTTAAGAGAAAGACACAGTATGACAACAGTCTGCTCAGTTTAGAGAGACAGAGGGAAAGCATGCTCCCTTCTTAGAGGGACAAAGGGAACAGCTTACTTTGCCTATTCCAAAAAGAGAAAAGCGTAGAGCTTTGTTGCTCTGCAAGAAAGGATGGATGAGGCACAGGCTGCCTTGACTTGGAAAGAGAAAGGAAGGGCTTGGCTGTCCTCTTTTTAGAGATTGAGTCTTCTCTCTCTCTACTTCTCTAGAATGGGTGGGCTTGAATACGAGCCCATGGTGGCAGATGAGAGAGATGGGTTCTTGAGGGTAGGGTAGTCTTGAGTCATCGAGCCCCAAATGAGCAAGTTTGTGAGTGGGGGAAAAAAAAAAAAACCGAGGTGGGAGCTACTGGATTGGCTTTCTTGTTTACAAATACACTTTCACTTGATGCGGGCATCCACATGGGTCGCAAACCTATTTTTTTTTTTCATTTTTCAAAAACAGACTCATAACCAAAATGCCCTCAAACCATCCAGATACACATTTATAACATTGATATATATCTATGTGTCTATGTGTTTGTACAGATCTACTCACAAACATGCACTCTGCATGCACATGCGAGAAATGTGGGTTATGCATATCTATATATATAGAACTCTTTTTTGTTTGTGTAATTTACGTATAGATTTATAGATTTACATACGTTGGCAGCCACCCATACTAGAAATTTCCACAAAATGTCTAGTTCTATCTACAGAATAGTTGACTCTTTCAGCTTAGGGCATTATCTTGGACTGTCTTGACACTTTCATTTGTATACATCCTTTAATTGCACATTTGATGCAATCCCAATGTGTCTTTTATCAATTTTCATATGAGCTTATCAACAAGAGATGCCAAGAGGTATCCTCCACATCAATTTTCATATGAGCTTATCAACAAGAGATGCCAAGAGGTATCCTTCATATCAATTTTCATATGAGCTTATCAACCAGAGATGCCAAGAGGTATCCTCCATGTATTAGATTCAAATTTGTGCTGCCAATGGTGCATTTCCTATCTTATCTATAATTGTAATTACAATTCACCCAATTAAAGTATACAGCATGGTTGGGCACCTGCAGATTTTTCCTCAATGCAAAATCATTTCAAAACATTATTTGAAAATAGTTAGGTTGATGTTTCAAAACCAAATAAGTATAATACCTTTGAAAAACATATCATTTCATAATAGTGAAATATAGGTCATGGATGCAATTTAAACAACAAAAATTTAGTACTGTCATCATTATGAGCTGACAACCACTTCAAGCTGGGCGTCTCAAATACTAAATTCACTATTTGAAGATAAATCTATTTTTTCTGACTAAAAATCAAATTACGTATGATTTGAACAAAAGACAATAAAGAAGAGACACCAAATATGGCATGTGTGCGCTTAGTAATTAAAGGAGAGACACTTAACCATCTAAGTCATCGGTAGAGTACTCTATGCTCTTTTGCAAGTCAGCCCTCAATTTCAATACATCCTCTTGTGCTAATCGAAGCTCATATTCACTAATTGCTAATTTTTCTTCTAAGGTTTCCTTCTCTTCAAGCAAGCTTTGGGGATCTGCAACTGAAACACAGACAAGAAGAGGTGAGCATTGTGTTTCTTCTCTCAGAACAAAGAAATACTTGTCAATACACTTTGTTAAATGGTCAAGATACGACATAATGCCAAGAATACCAAAAAAAGAAGCAAATGGAATACCAAAAAATTGGAAACTTACATACTAATGTGGCATAAGAAAGGCTAAAAAGCCAAGATTATATGCCATTGATATATAGAATTAATAACTTTGATGCAAAAAAGTTTAGTTTTGTTTACAAGAGATCAAAGGAAAGAAAGACATTCATATGAAATTATGGAGGATCTACTGATGATAGTACCTTCAGGAACATACACTATCAAGATTTAATAAAACGGATCAGTGATCTGGATTGGTCACCCCAAAAACCATGTTGGATTGGCGATTCTTAAAAGGATGGCAAAAGACTAATAAAACGGATCAGTGATCTGGATTGGTCACCCCAAAAACCATGTTGGATTGGCGATTCTTAAAAGGATGGCAAAAGACTGGAATAGGAACCCTAACCTATAAGTTTTAAAAAGACACCCTTCAAGATTTTTACCCTTCATGATTATAGCATACACAACAAATTTGTCAATGATTTTAGACATATATGAAGATTATTAAAGGAAATTTTAATTGATTTAATAAAGGACGAAGTGCTTAGTTTAAACAAATTAGAAAATTTCTCCTGCATTTGACTCCCTAAATCTCTTACAACCTAAACAAAAGAACGAAAGAAAAACTTCACAGCAATTCCACTTGAATGACCTTCACTTGGAAGTGACATTGCATCCGCTTGTTATATCTACTAGTTCAAAAACCATGGATATGTGATCAGTGATAATAAATCCAGATTAAGAAGAGGCAGAGGAGGATAAGTATGGCCACAAGCAGCAACCTGGGCTTATAGTGAAGAATTAACAGGGACTGTAAGCATTAGCATCTCATGGATGGAATCGACTCGTGTAAGTTCATCTTGTATAGCTTGGCACCTTGACTTCATTAAGAGGTTAATCTCATACCCCAAGGTTAAGCAGGTAATATAAAACCCTCCTTGGATAAATGTTATAGAACTACCAATCACATGAATGATATTATTTCTGCAGTTACTACCTGATACATAGTCAGCTCTCATATGCGCACATGTTAAAGATGGATCAGCTATGATTGAATCTCAGATTTGATGTTTATGTGCATTAATCAGCTCACAAATTTCAATCTTCTTCATGTTCCTAAACTTTCCAGGATACATACTTTCTCGGCTAAAAAGCCAAAAAAGAGTATGTTATTTCTTGTTTTCCAAATTTATTCCTCGTGCATGATTTAGGACATAGCAAATTGATTGGTAATGGGGGGAACAACTTAAGAAGAAAATTTTGTCTCATGTCAGAGTCACCTGAGTCCTTGCACAATCCTTATCAACAGTTGCATGTACTCATGTCTTTGTTTCACTTGTGGCATGGTAGATAAAGTCATCCAATACAAAGTTTTGGATAAGTCCCAACCCTCAAGATTTGACTTCCTTGTTGTAAAGAGAAATGTTGCAGGCATCACATTTTGTAAACCAAAGAAATTGATGCTTCTGCCCTTTTAAAAAATAGTAGAAGCCATGAATGTTTTGATGATTTGATCTAGTGCATTCCAATGTATACCATCTAGTTACTGTTCGCTCTAGTTATAACGCTTTATGAGCAAGTGGGCACAAGTTACTAGTGCATTATCTTTCAATTATATAAAAAATGCTTAAACCTGTTTATTCACAATTTCAAATGACAAAAGACAAGTTGAAATCAGGAAGCCGAATGACTACAAAGCACATATTGCCATGTTCAGTATTAACATGTTGCTATGTAGTTTCTCTGTTTCACAAATTGTCCGGTGGCCTAAATACCATCTCTCTGTCTCACTGTCTCTCTCACGTGAAAAGCAGAACTTATATTTAAAAGCAGTTTAGCTTTTGAGAATGCAATATCCAACCGAAATTATCCTGTGTTACCCATTTCTCAAATTTCAATATCATTTTTGGATTCATGCAAAGCAAAAGTTTATATAAGGATGCAACCCTACTTGTAAAAGTAAGGTTGCAGTAATCTATACAATCCACTCATGTAATCGTGCAATAATTTGAATTATCACTAAAATACTAATGCAAAATGAAAATAGAATAGAAATTGCCAGCCAAGCATATAAGAACCATATTTGCAACTACAGCAGGCCAAAAGCAAAATTGTGAACACTACTGACTATAAAGAATATGCAAAGACAAATAGTGAGGTCACAGATGATCATTAAAACAAAATGTCAAACTTGAAAAGAAAACTTCACAAACAGACTGCGATCAAAAAAAAAGGAAAAGAAAAATCATAAACAGATCCGATCACCTATAAATCAATTAAAGAAAATGGAGTCTAAATCCAACAAGAGCAAACAAAAAATAAATAGAGAACATAAATTTTTTGAAAGCTCAATGCTCAGGAGAAACAAGAATAGAGAGATAAAACTTGCCTCGCAGGGCACTGAGCCGAGAAATTTGATCAGGAGGAAATAGTGATGTGTCTGAGAAGAACTCCTTGAGCCTGATAGCAAGGTCGTGGCGACCATCCTCAACGAGCTCATGCAAGAGCTCAAATGCAGAGAGCAAATAGTTCTCCTGCAAAAGAAAGTTAACCACACAATTGCAGAGAGAAGCCTTCTCCACATCCATAGCTCATCTCCCGCCCAAATTCTCCACCAAAACCATGAACAATTCACAGATGAACACACGCCTTAATTCTACAGGGGATTCGAGCTCATTCTCTCAATCACCTGAGAGACCTTCCAGCGCTCAAGTTGTCCTCCATATCCATTGAATATTATAGAGATCTCACATCCATAGAAAAAACAAAAACCCTAAATTTAGCGGGTATAGATAGAATCATAGAAATGAATCCCTTGATTTTATGATACATCCGCAATGGATCTAAATGGAAAATGCGTAACCAGAGATTTTCAAAAAGAAAACAATGTGGAAAAAGCGAATTTGATGTTCAATAACAGCTTTTGGTCTGCCTTTTTCCAGGTTGTGATCTAGAAAGAGAAGGCCTGGAAGCATTCACTGAGAGAGAGATTCGTGATTTTATTTAGAGAGAGAGAATGGGGAAACGAGTAATTTTTTACTCATTCTTGAAGTCAAAAATGAGTTACAGAGAAGGGTGACGTATCATATTATTAGTATTAAATAAAGTTGGGGGATTGTTCCCATGTGGAGGTTGCTACGTTAAAATCGTACAAAATTACGGTTTTCATTCAAATTTATACGAAATTTCAGTTTTAATAAATGCAACCGAGACTGTCCCCTCTGTTTTGGGTGAATGGATTGTTTCCTTATGGGAAATGATAAACCGAGCATGTGATAACGGCCATTATTTGCAACAAAGGGCACATTAACGGAGAAAGCACATCTGCCCAGCGTGGCAACGGATCGCGTACGGGTCCAGTTTCGCTCGCTCGATACGGATCCTGACCTGAATAGTATTTGGGTACAAAATTTGAATACATTCTCACGCCCGTCAGGTTTTGGGTCTATCTGTCAAATCCAGCGTTTTAAAAAACGCCGAGTCGAACCGGATTCGCCCGATTCGACTCGGAAATAGTGAAAAAGGAACCGGATCCCCCAAAAATCGGAAATCGTCCGGTTCTAGAGAGAACCGGACGATTTTGTACAGTGAATCGCCGGAATCGGCGAATCCAAACAGTGAATCGGCGATTCCGTACGGAATTTTTTTTTTTTTTTTTTGGTAATCCATGATAGATTTTTTTGTAATCCATGATCGTAATTTTTTGGTTTTTTGTAACCCATAATAGAATTTTTTGTAAT